GCTTGACTTTTCTTAAGCCTGCGGCGCTAGCTTGAGTGGCTTGACTTTTCTTAAGCCTGCGGCGCTAGCTTGAGTGGCTTGACTTTTCTTAAGCCTGCGGCGCTAGCTTGAGTGGCTTGACTTTTCTTAAGCCTGCGGCGCTAGCTTGAGTGGCTTGACTTTTCTTAAGCCTGCGGCGCTAGCTTGAGTGGCTTGACTTTTCTTAAGCCTGCGGCGCTTGGAGGTTTGAGCCAGCTTGAGTGGCTTGACTTTTCTTAAGCCTGCGGCGCTAAGCTTGAGTGGCTTGACTTTTCTTAAGCCTGCGGCGCTAAGCTTGAGTGGCTTGACTTTTCTTTAAGCCTGCGGCGCTAGCTTGAGTGGCTTGACTTTCCTAAGCCTGCGGCGCTAAGCTTGAGTGGCTTGACTTTTCTTTAAGCCTGCGGCCTGAGTGGCTTGACTTTTCTTAAGCCTGCGGCGCTAGCTTGAGTGGCTTGACTTTTCTTTAAGCCTGCGGCGCTAGCTTGAGTGGCTTGACTTTTCTTAAGCCTGCGGCGCTAGCTTGAGTGGCTTGACTTTTCTTTAAGCCTGCGGCGCTAGCTTGAGTGGCTTGACTTTCCTTAAGCCTGCGGCGCTAGCTTGAGTGGCTTGACTTTTCTTAAGCCTGCGGCGCTAGCTTGAGTGGGTGACAGGGTTTTTCCATTTTATTCCCAACAACAGACAAATAGCAAAAAAAAGATAATTGTACAGTCAAATCACAAAAATAGCAATACAAAAGGACGGCATATTTGGGCGATCAATCACGCAGGACTTCGGTGTAGACGATGTTGGTGGCCTTGTCGTTGTCGGTGCGAATCCGGATTCCGTTCTTTGATCGACAGCGAGACAGGGCAACATACAGCTGGCCATGGCTGAAAATTGGAGCCCCCAAGTCCAACCCCACGCGCTCAAAACTCTGGCCCTGGGACTTATTAATAGTGAGCGCAAAGCTAAGACGAACGGGAAATTGGCGTCTTTTTAGGCGAAAAGGAAGACCTTTTTCAAAATAACAATCAATTCTGGGCACCAATACCACCTTTCCCTTCCTTGGCCCAGTCGCAATGGTGCAGGCTAGGACACGTTGACCGATGCGCTCGACGATCAGCCTTGTGCCGTTGCATAGACCCTGCGAGATGTTGAGGTTCCTTAACAGCATTACGATGGCTCCGACTTTGAGGTAGAGCTCGTGTGGTGGGAGACCTGTTGGGGTCATTTGATTGAGAAATTCTGCCGGAAAATTTTGCGCATCGGATGGGTCATCCGTGAGGGCTTCGTCTTGGCTCCGAGCCAAAGTCGGATCGCCTGGCAGCATGTCCAAAATTTGATTGTTTAGCGAAAGAACGCGCTCGTTTCTGGGTGACAAAATAGCGACATCTGCCAGTGCGACGCTACCCTGCTTGAACACCTGCTCAAAAATTTCCGTAGCAAGATCGGCTCGAGTGCACAGTTCCGGGGGAACATCGACCTGGTCGTCCTCGTCCTTGGGCAGAACATCGTCCCCAAGCTCGATCAGCCAGTCCTTCCAATCGGTGTCGGCATCCCGTACTCGCATGTTTGTAGTCAATCTGTACTGCCTGAAGTGGGCCCACAGAGGCGAATTTTTAATGCAAAGGGCTACCATGTCGCCACGGGTACCTTTTTCCACCACTGGCAGGACTTGCCGAAAATCTCCACCGAGCACCATTGTAACCCCACCAAACGGCAGCGGCGACTGCTTGATGTCGCGCAGCAAGGCGTCGACGGCTTCGAGGGCATGGCGAGGAGCCATTGGTGCTTCGTCCCAGACGATGAGCTTGACCTGGCTGAGCGCCCTCGCCTCCTTGGATTGGGCCTTCATGCTGGACACTTTGCTATCCTGGGCTACAATCAGCTGAAATGCGCTACTGACCGTTCTGCCTTCTGGCAACAAATTGGCGGCGATCCCGGTCCAAGCAACACACAATACCTTGTCTTCCCTACCAATTGCTGAATGGATGAGAGCATTGTAGAGGAAGGTCTTCCCGCTGCCACCGGGGCCGTCGACAAAGAAGCATTGACCGTTTTCGGACTCAAGTGCCTGGAAAACACCCTCGAATACCGTTTTTTGCTGCGGGTTGAGCTGGGCGGATAGATCAAGGCCCATTCGCTGGTGTGCGGTGAAGTCGGGCGTGTCGATGCTGGGATGGGCTGGAGGCTGCGGGATATCGAGGGGGAGAAATTCCTTAATGTCACGGTTCAAGTCCCCAATTTTCTCGGCAATATCCCAGAAAGCATGGGAGATCGCCACGGCGGGTTCGAGCCCCTGATGCATAAAATCCTCGCACAGCTGCATTTTGTAGCTGTCCCAAAGCGCGACCGGGGAGTGGTTTTCGACATACACCAAGAGACAGGCAAAAAAGGCGCGCAATTCACCGGGCATCTGAAAAAGGGCAGCTTCTCGCATAGAGTCGGCAATGTGACTATCGTCGGCAAGATAGTCGCCGGCGATCGCCGCCTCCAAGAATGTACGGTATACGGTACCGCCAATTGTGCGTAGGTCCGCAAAAGACGTGATACCCTTTCTGTACAGCAGAAGCGTGCGCATTGCGAAGCGTTCCATGTCTTTTGGCGACACAAAATAAATCCTACCAATCGTCTTTTCGGTATTTTTTTCCCGTTGTTTCCACGTGCCATTGGTCTGGAATGTGAAATGCTTGGGCATTTCAGCGTAGAAGAATTGTCGCGAGTCAACGATACCGGCCGGGATCCCACCATTTCCCTCTAAATCTGCCATTTCCGCATTTTTAGCGAACCATGCTGAAAGGGTTGTTTTTCGATTTCGGGCAACGTTTAGAGCCTCTGCTTCGGCTCCGTCTGAAAAGACCACACTCTCGAACGCTTCCAAATGGACCATCAGGCGGATGATCACGTGGGAGCGCTCATGCATCTGGTTACCAAAAATGCGAAAGGCTGCTTCCGGGGCGCAGACGTAGCGAGCGTCGATGTAATCCTGAATTTCGTCACGCGGTCCGTTTTCCCCGGTGGCAGTCAGACGGATTCGAGCCCGATCTGTGCCTTTGTAAACGTATTTAAATAAATACTTGACTACTCCCAGCCATGCACAAACCTCGAGGTTGATGTGCGCGTTTAGGAGCAAGCAAAGATACCTATTGTACGGAACCACGTGGCGGTTGTCGAGCCGGCCAGAGCGATCGGTTCGACCATTGTCTCGGCGACGATACTTGGGATACCCACCGCCTCCAATAGAGGTCTCTTGCTGGAAAGCTTTCGGGAACCCTTTTGTGCACTTGTTATCCCGCATGCACGGTGACGTCGGGTTATCGACACCACACGCCCGATGCATCATGGACTTGGAAATGATCTCGTACAGCCGCGGATCAGCGACCGGGTCGGGCAACTCGGCAGAGATCAGCTCGTCGACCTCGTCCGGCGTCACTGGCTTCCAGCCTACCTTGAGCCATAGTAGCATATGCCTATGTGGTAAGCCTCGTTTCTGGTACTCTATGACTGAAATATGGGCCTCGACTTCACCAAGACAATGCTCCTTGAAAAGCGCCTTGTCGAGGGCGGCCATTTTGAGCGCGAATACCCTGGAAATCAAGTCCGGCCTGTCAAAGGCCTGCTGTCCGGGAAGCAAAGCCTCTTGAATTTCGCGCCAATTGGGATTTGAAGTAATCGTCAAAAAGAGATCAGGCTTGTTGTAGAACCCGACCAAGCTGAGCGAGTCTTGGTAATTCCTCACCATGTTTCGGTCACTACCTTGGTGGTCAGCAGAAAGTACGATGCGCCTTCCAGCTGGCCCCGCATCGTCCGAGTTCAGATGGTCTTGTAGCCCGCGTACAGTATCGAGCCGACATTGCTTCTGGTTCTGCTTAAAGAAGTTTAGCCGATTCTGCTCGACTTTGAGCCAAGAATCGACTATGTACTGCTGAAAGAGTTTTGAGGCGCGGAAAAGCGGATTAAACTGGGCACGTACGAAGAGGAAAAATGCGTAATAATCTTTTTGGGTAATGCGCGAATGGGCACCGGCTGTTTGGCGGGCCAAATTTGGATGCCAGCCGGGTTCGCCCCTTGGAAAAAGCAGTGGATATACCATCGGCTCGCACCTCTTGTCAAGGTAACTGAGTTTTTGCAATTGGCCATTTCCATTTTTCTCCTTCACCATGAGCCACCGCTCACCTGGGATATTTTCCTCGTTGCCTACATACACCACAGCAACTTCGTTAGCACTGGCTACATTGTAGCGCCGCTGGTCGTCCCGCTTGTCGGTTTCGAACACCATTGTTACCTCTCTTCTTGGCCTACCATCCACTGCCGCTTCCCTTTCTTCCTGTTTGGCCACCTCGTCCATCATCATGTAGGCTTGTGCGAGCTGGTTGCAGCCTTGTAACATCGCGTGAAGATCGCGGAAGAGGGACTCGTCACATTGTCGGTTGACTGGCCGGCCCGCCAGCTCTTCGGCTGCCTCTCCCGAATCTAAAATCAAAACCTGCGCACATTGCGGCTGTTGGCCTTGCTCGGGGCGGAGCGGCCCAGTGAGGTGCACCACCATCCCGTGCACTCGGTACGGCTGCGGACCACGTCCGGGCGGCAAATCGAGCTTGGCTACCATCGACGCCATGGCCAGGCTGTTGTTGTAGTTGCTGATGTTGCGGAGGAAGGCTGCTGAGCGCGGGTCTTGCCCAGTGTAGAGGTCCTTTAGGGGTTGCGGGAAATCCTGTAACAGGGTTAACGATACCTTGCCCTTCCGGCAACATTGGCTAAAGGCCCCAGCGGTCTGGGTTTCACCCAGCCAATGCAGCGCACCGCATTGCGAGCAGGCCTGGTCCATGCGGCCTTGGTAGTGTTCATCGGGACAAATATTAGGTACCCGGGCGATTCCCGCGCCTCGGCGCGTCGCATTGCGTCGACCCGCTCGAAGAGCAAGATTGCTATCACGCATGCGTTGCAACCTAGCCGCGCGTTCCTCAGCTTCCTCGCTGGCCAGCTGCCTAGCCTGTCTGTCAGCATTCTGCGCTCGCCGTGAACTGCGTTCTTCTGAAGTCTCCATGGCTCTCGCTTGGGAAGTCGAGATCGCGTTCGTGGCTCGACGGGCTGAAATAAGCGTAGGTGGCTCTTTTTTTGTGCATATTAGCAGCATTGGCCTGATTTCGAGTCGTGGTTTGGGAAGTATTTTCTTTGGCTCTGTGAATGGCCATCCGCGCCGCATTTTTTTGGCGGCGAGCATCCGCCTGGCTCGGGGTCTCTTCAAGGCGGGCTTTTTTTCTTTGTGAATTAGCCTGGGAATACTGCTCCTCGATGGAGTCTTGTGTGGCTCGACGCCGCGAAATCTGTTTGTTTTTTGAATTCCGGGCGATCCTGGCACGTTCTTCAGCCGATATTTTGGATCGTGGCCGCTTTGCTATTTTTTGGGCATTTTCGGTAATAACAACAACAGAACGATTGTGGGGGAAATCGCTAATGTTCAGCGGGATGCTCGTATCCGGTCGAGATGGGCCAGCCTGCTGGGAGAAGTTGAAGGAGGACGGCAGCGTGCTGGTGCGAAGAGGAATGCTGGTGTCCGGGCGAGACGGGCCAGGCTGTTGTGAGGCTCCCGGAGCTGGAGACAGCGCATCAAGTGGCTCGTGGTAGTCGTAGTAGCCTCAAAATGGCTTTTTTGTCTGAATTGTTTGTCGTGTTCATCCCTTATGAAGCATGGTGACTTACCAATCGGGTCTGTATACGGGCACAAATCTGACGGATCATCGGCGTATTCCGAGGTGTCAGAGAACGCGGAGAATTCCGGTTGATCACTGACAGCTGGGCTTGAAGGATGAGAACACTGTCTTGGACCGTCAAAGCATCGACCTGTCGGCCAATCTGTAAGGGAGTCCGGATTACGATGGGTGTCGTGGTACGGTGCTGGTGCTGCTTTGGCTCTGCGCGACGCGGGAACTTGACGCGGAAGACACGAAAAACTCTGACAAAATGTCGTCATCAGAAGTCGGTTCGAATTGTGCATCAAAGTAAGCTGAAACAAAGCCTAAACGTAAAGCAGATAGTTTGGCTACCCGCCGTCCTTAGAGCCATTAAAGAATTACACCTACCAATTCTGTCAGAATAGGCTAGAAACTCTTGTGAAGAGAATAGCGCACTATCCGGAACGGCAACTGAAAGAATAGGCGGCACAGGTGCGCGGAAATGACGGAGTCCGGGGCCAGGCTCGTCGAGAGGCGGCGGGTCGGGCTCTTCAGGAGGCGATGCGCCGCGCGCAGGGTCAATTGAACTCGATGGAGGCGAGCCGGATGATGCGGACGGTTTCGTAAAATGTTTTGCTCCCCGGTGGCTTCCAAGCAGGTGCTTTATTTCCGGATTTCCGGCGGAAGTTTCTCGAAAAGTTAATATGCAGGCGATCATTTAGTTTTTTAGACAATATTTTGTGGAAATCCGGGCGAAAACATACTTCCGGAGCAAAAAGCAAAACAATTCGCGAAGTCGGGAACCGAACCTGCGATCGAAAATTTCGCAAGCCGAACCACTATCCAGTACACCACACCACCATTGGATGGTCAAGCGCAACACGGGAGTTTATGCCCCGGGGGGAATGCCCCGGGAAGGGGAAAGGCATGGCAGTAAGACGCAGACGACCACACGGGCGCGTGCAACTTGCAAGAATGAGCAAATTTGTATTTTTTCACATTATGCAAATTACCCCCAAAAATGAATAAAACCGGCCTTAACTTTGTAAACTTGTATTTTATCGGGATTCTGAAAACGCCATCGGAAACAGAAGGGTCGATTCCCCCCGGGTGACGGAGAATTAGGGCATTTTGGACACGGGAAGGCCCTCAAATCCGGCCTCGAAAGTGACATCCACACACACACACACACACAGTTACACTCCAAAATTATATAAGGTAGGATAATAAACTATTTTTATACTTATTTTAAAAATAAATAAAACTCAAGATAAAATTAAAAACTGTAAAATAACGGCTCAATTTTTATAATCTAAACATTACATTCTATACATGATTTCCAAAAAAATGAAGATCGGTCGTCAACTGAAGGTATTATTTGCCACTGTTTTTGAGTGCATTTGCATTGAGTAGAGCAATTTATTGAGCATTATTCAACGCTAGGCCGTCCCATAGGCAAACGTGCGGCACCTGCCGTTATCGCTTCCGGCACACGCCTGGAAAGGGCTGCACAGGTCGACGGTATTAACAGTCCTTCGAAATTTCACGATCAGCAATTCGCCATCGTCGCGCGCGATCCGGTACCAATGTTCGACGAACGTTTGCACGCCAAAGTTATGCCGGACTATGATCTGGGGATGTGGCTCAAAACGGTCGGGGCTTCCCGGCAGCGAAGGGCCAACATTTCGCCCGCTGAAGTATTCGGTGGACACCTTTTTGATCTCACGCTCGCCGCGTAGCCATTCGTCGACCAAATTTTCGGTATAGTCTTGATCGTAGAAGCCGGAAGTGTGCAGGGTTAGATGCGCGTGCTTTAGGCCCATATATTCTGATGGTGGGACGGTGATTTTGGCGTCTAGTCGCTGGATGTGTTTATTGGTCCAGGCTAGCACTTCGAGGTTAGGGCGCAAATTTTCCATGGTGAGAACAAGCTCTCCGGCCAATTTTTGTAGTTTAAAGGTTCGATCTGGGTCCAAGTCATCATGGCATAGATTCAAATATGGGTGGCTAGCTTCCGGAAATTGGCCATGCGGGTGTGGCTCAAACGTGTTAGCCGCATAAAACAGCATCCTGAGGATCTCGATGTCCTCGATAGTAGCCGAACCGGCCGGCGGACTAAAGCTATAGCCCCTGCCAATCGACTCCTTCGTGACGGCCACTTTCCATTGCTTGTTTTGGTAGTGTTTCGTCATCTCCAGCATGGTTCTACTCGTCATCACGGTTTTCAAGAAAGTTCTGAAATCCATATGCCGAAGGATGCGCTGCTGGATTTCGATCGGCAATACGTGGAAATCCATTTTCTGAAAATACTGGATAGCGCAGAGAATTCAGGAAGATTTGCATACACATTTTCGAAATCCAAAAAGCACTTATTCGCAAATAATTTTTCCGAAATGTCATGTTTCCGAAAATCATTCGAAACATCCACGTCCAACTATCAATAGGAAATGGTCGCAAATGGCATGAAACAACAATGAAAATTTTTCAAATTCTCATTTTCGAAAATAAGTATTTTCGAAAATAAGACTTTTCGAAAATATGACTTTCGGAATTAAGACTTTTCGAAAAAATGATTTTCGGAAGTACGGAATTACGCACAAAAATCTCTGCATTGGGATGGAATTTTTGAGAATAGTTCTTACTTTGCAATACTCAAAAAAAAATTGCTAATTGTGCCTAAAAGTAGACAAATATGGATGACGGGGGAGTCGATCTAAATGAGTGACGGCGACAAGTTAAAATCGAGACAAAACGTCAAAAGCTCGCAAAATTGCATGCCTGTGCTACGTATTTGCGCCTGCCATGTGAGCACGGCCTTATCAATTGGGGGAACATGGCAAGGCTGGGCATTTTTTGAGGCTTTTTACGGCTTTTAGACCTTCGCAAGATTTTAATAAATTGTATACCAGCCAGCGCAGAAATGCGTGCGAGGGAGGGGGAGAAAGTGGATGAGAATGAGCTAGAGAGCGAGAGAGAGAACGAGAGCGAGCGAGAGAGAGAGAGAGAGAGAGAGAGAGAGAGAGCGAGAGAGAGCTGGAGATGGAGAGAGAATGGAGAATGCGGGAGACTGTGTTAGTAAGTCCGGAATCAAATTGTAATCATGTTTCGCCGTGTTTGAATAACACCATCGTCATATCAAAACCATTTATTCAGTGTTAGCCTCGCCCAAAAACAAAGTCCTTGTACATCTGGTCACAGTCGTGCTCGATTGCCTGGTGGGGGATGCAGAACGTGACGGATGGCAAGTAGTTCGTGACACATTTTAAGATTAATACTTTTCCGTCGGGCCGGCGTAGGCGATACCAGATTTCGACGGCACCCGATCTGGGAATTGCAATCTTTGGGAAACGAGCATAAAAGGCTGGATCGAGGGGCGGGTGCGTCCGCGCGTCCCATGCTGGTTGGTAATAGCTGTAGACCCACTCAATTTCCCTCTCGCCCTGCAGCCATTCCGTTACGAGCGTTTGTGTAAAGCGTTCTGCGGCCATATCGAAACTGCCTTTTTCGTAGAAGTACATTCTAGGCAGTTTCAATGGCACATATTTCGACTGTTGTGCGCTGATTGTGGCCGTGAGCACCTCGACGTTGCCATTGATCCAAGCCAGGAATTCCGTGGTTGGGGGCAACAATACTGTCATGTAGGCGTATACATATTTCCCGGCAGGTTTGTGCCGCTTTAGAACCGGGAGAAGAGCCTCGAATTCGTGGTACAGTGTCAGACGGCGGCTGTGAACGTCGATACCTTTGGGAAATGGCCTCCAGAGCGACAAACCGTTGACGGTAGCGTTATGGGCGACCAGTCTGATAGTATGGATCGGTAGATTGCCAGGACCAAAGGGCAGGCCGTCAAGTGTAAGCGAGTATAAGTCTCCGCCCTCCCTCTCGTCCGAGATCCCGATCTGCTCCCATGTCTTGTCCCGGCACGCTCTGGCCATCTCCAGCATTGCCCTGCTCGTATGGGCTGTCTTCAGGAAGCCCTTGACATCCATGCTCCGCATGATGTGATGTTGTACCATGACGGGAAGCGCGCAGAAGTCCATTGCCTGAAAATTGCTCAATTAGGCCTGGAAAATCAGAAATAGGGAAGCAATCTGGAAGAGGCCACAAAAATTGTGTAGGTGGGCAATTTCGTAGGTGCACAAGGTGTCCCAATAAAAAAATACCACAAAAAAAACTAACTGGACGCAGAAGCATCGGATCGGAACGATAGTTATACCATTCGAAAGCCCTTGAAACGGCGATTTTTTCAAAAACCTTTAAAACTCTATTTTTGTTGAAACCCGCTATTTTCGCAGGCCATCTTGTAAAACTTTTGCTGGTTTTAGAGTTGCAAATGCGCTAATTTCCCTTTATTTCTTCAAGCGAAGTGCCCGGAATTGGCGGTTAATTAGATGCGGAATCCGTCCATTATGGGCGAAATTCGTAATAAAATGGCGCGGTTGAATGATTTAAATAAAATCTAAATAATTTAAATTAAATTTAACTTAGATGAAAACATGGTTTTGAAGATTGTTGCAAACTAGCCGGTTAAAGGGCTTTCGAAAGGTATGACTATCGTTCCGATCCGATACTTTAGGCGTCGAGTTAGAGGGGATGTTTTCATATGGCGTCAATCTGGCGAAGCAGGCTCCGAAAACGTGTCGATAGGTAATTTCGTAGATGTAAGAAACCAGAAAAGATAGGAAATCAGACCAGAAAACTGCTGGACAGCTTGACCTCTTCGCAGTGCTCCGGGAATTACGCACGATGGGCGGGATTTAGGAATCAGATTTACAATTGCGGATTGCACGAATACATCTGTCTGCCCGGAGGCAATATTAAATTAGCACCAAAAGGTGATCAGCCAAGATCTGCGGTATAGCAGTGGTAGCCGTCCTTCTCCATATGCTTCAACTTCAATCGGCCATTCCTGGTTCGGACAATCCATGGACTTTTGCAGGGTTGCTTTCATAATGTCGAAATCATAATGCCGAAATTGCATAATGTCGAAATTTCAGAAATGGAAATTTACATAAACTATTTTTCCCGGAAAAACCCCGGATCCTTCCAAAAAATATCGACATTATGAAAGTTTCGACATTCGGAATTTCGGCGCCATGAATTTCGACATTATGATGGTAAATCCCTTTTGCAGCATCGCCCTGCATGAAAATTTTTGAAAGCATTGAGGGCTTTAAATATTTTTTGATGCCGAAGCGCGAAAAGCGGGAACGCGATTTCAAAAAATATTCAAAGCGATTTTCAAAACCAATATTTATGATTTATTTAGCGATAAATGTATTATGGCTTAACGCCTGTTTCTGTATGTTACTTCAGTTTTCCGTGTGATTGTACGGCTACGGTTTACTTTACCCCCCAGCCGGAAGTTTTGGCTATAACTTTTTATTTTACATTATTGTAGGCTCAAATTAAAACTCTTCGTATATTTTTTGACGCTCTATCGAATGGCGTTGCTAAAATCCCGACAAAATAAGCGAAAATACCGACAACTTTGAGACCCTTCGGCTGTGGGGGGGTAAAGTAGACTCTTGCCGATTTTACTGTAACTCTCGTTGAATGCAGACCAGCTGAACACTTTAACGACCCCACGACGCCGGATCGCAGTCGGTCGTCTGTTTGCGGTTGGTCCCGATTGGCCGGCAGTATCCACGGGGGCTACGGCCGATTTGTTCGCAGCAGAAAAGCCCATCCACGCACTCTTGATAGTCGAGCTTCCTGTTACAGTGAACGTTCTTCTCGATGCGTCTCTTAAATGTATCGGGGAATTAACGATACGCAATTCTCTTTCGGTTGCCTATCAGAAGCCTCAAAATAAGAAGCGAAAGCGAAAATTTCGGACTTTATGGTAGCTCAATTTTTGAATTTTTAGGACATCGAGCGTGCACTTCCAAAGCCTCGAAATGTCTCAGGATTCCAACAAGTTTCCGTCTCTCTAGCTATTTCTCCCTATCTTTCTCGCTTTCGCTCCCTCTCTCTCTCTCTCTCTCTCTCTCTCTCTCTCTCTCTCTCTCTCTCTCTCTCTCTCTCTTTCTCCTCTCTCTGTCAATCTCTCAATCCGCTAGCCGCATTAAACCCCCAGCAAAAAAATTTTAATACATACCCTGGGCCTGCATAGATAATCCTTGCCACAGTACCAATGCGGTTTGCACGGGACCTTCCGACACTCCTCGAGAAACGCGGCCGAGGTCAGCGCCAGGAACGCAATATAAAAAACCCAGCGCATCTTGAATTGCACTTTCCGCCCGCTGCGATTTTTATATGGCCAACGCTGGCTTCCGAATCCATTAAACGGGCTTGAATTCAAATTAGCGGTTCTGTCGCCTTGTGGTCCGCAGGAATCTCGGATTGGGATGGCTTCTACACCATTCGAAAGCCTTACTAAAGGCGAGAAAACATCGTGCCGTTTTCTTGAGATTGTAAGCATTTTGTTGATAGTACTGTTTTGTTAAAAAAACCTTCACAAAATCACGATTAGCATGTGATAGAGAGAGAGAGAGAGCGAGAAAGAGAGAGAGAGAAAGAGAGCGGGAGAGATAGGAGAGATATGAGGTTAATTTGCTTACCTTCTATCTTTGGTTTTCGAATTCAGATTTTTACCTGGAGGAAAGCTGACGAAAGGTCACGATTTTCTTGGTTATTTGCTCACTTTCTCTCTCGCTCGCTCTCTCTCCTCTCTCTCTCTCACTCTCTCTCGCTCTCTGTCTTTATAATGCCTTTGATCTAATCACAAATATTTATCAAATAAATTGCCTCATGCAAACCCACAAAGAATCCGATTCAGCGTATTCTGATAAAGCAACCGGATCGTCCTCGGCAACAGAATTCACCGGCACGACATATCGCCCCAAAGCACTCGGCTCTCTATAGTTTTACGATTCCTTTTTCTGACGTTTAATTTTCAGCTCTCTTTCTCCAAATCATTGATAGACCCCAAGCTCACCTCGCCTACGGCAGCGGCAACGAGAAGAAGCAGCAGAAAATAAAAAATCGAGCGCATTTCGGATGGTGAAGAGAACCGAATTTTTAGGCTTTTCTGGTGATATACGATAGATTAGGTAGACTCTTTGTTTCATACCAATTTTGTAAATTCCGGATTTTCGGGATGGTGGTTTCAAAACTAGGGCATTTGGAAATACGACATTTGAAATGCTAAGAAAGGATTTTCGAAAATGTCGACTTTTTCTCTGGCAACCGCATTACCGGTGGAGTTCCCGAGCTGGCCGTAAATTTCTTTTTCAACGCGTTCTAAAGCTTTTCATGTTCTACCTCGACAATCATTTTCCTCTCTATGTTTCTCTGCCTATTCTTTAATGTTTATTGTGTTTTTAAAAATTGCGTAGATATTTATCTCAGAAATGTCTTTAGCCCTCGCTATTTTCCTACTGGAGGACACTCAGGGGTAGTCACAAAAAAGCACGCCTTCGCCGAAGGGCAGCAATATTCATACCAGGAACAGGATTTGCCGTAGCAGTCACGGCTCTGCAATTTTTTCATATATAAATTGCCAAATATAGCATTCAATTCACGCGTTAAATCCAAACCACCTCAACTACCGTAACCGCGATGGCCAGCAGCAGCAGCAGAGTGTAGAAAATAGAAGGCATTTTGAATGGCAAAAGGCGGGATCTTGACGTTTTTAAGGCGCATTCTTTTCGATCTACGGCCTTTGGTTTCTGGCCTTATGCGGCAGCGGAGATGCACCATGTTTTATTCAACGAAAATCAGGGCCTGAAGCTGAGTTGTTTTTTGGAAACAGGTTTCCAAAACTCGCTGCAGAGAAGTGAAGCTGTTTTTGTTTCTTGTCTACAGGGTGGGCCAAAAAAAAAGTAAAGTTTGGGTCAAATTATCTCGCGAACGGAAACGAATCGGACCATCGTTACCTTGCCAGAATGCTTAAATATGCTGGGTATGAAGAAATAACACAAGTTGTTTTTTAAGATTTTTGACGACCAGTGGGTCGTTAAAAAGTTTTGAACATTTTTGAAAAAGTAGAAACTTTGAAGCGATAAAGTATGGAACTTTTAATGAGTTAGGGGGACATGAAGGGTATCAAAATGAAGCTCTCGGAGTGCACTATCAAAGCAGTCGTAAAAAATTTTGATCAGTTTAACTAGCCGTCAATAGGAGCGTTCGGAAAATCCGTACTTTTACGGAATGGGCGCCTCCGAATTGACCATAAAAAGCACCTTGCTGCCCAAATTTTTTGTACGTATTACATGCAATCCTGTTTGCCAAAGATGACCATGCTATATTTTTAACTAAAGGAGCCTAGAACTTACACATTCGGTCGAATTGGCAAAGTGCCAAAAAATTTTTTGATCGCGATTTGAAAATTTTTGATGCCAAAAGTTAGTAGTTATATATCTATTGCTAATTGCAAAATATCAGAAAGATCGGATGGTAAAGAAATTTTATCTGGAATTATTTTCCCAAAAAGTACGGATTTTCCGAACGCTCCTATTGACGGCTAGCTAAACCGATCAAAATTTTTTTACGACTGCTTTGATAGGTTGGCAGTCGTCTGATCGAAAAACACCTAATCGAAAATCGCCTGATCGAAAATCGCCTGATCGAAAAATCGTCTGATCGAAAATCGCCTGATCGAAAATCATCTGATCGAAAAGTCGCCTGATCGAAAAATCGCCTGATCGAAAATCGCCTGATCGAAAATCGCCTGATCGAAAAATCACCTGATCGAAAATCATCTGATCGAAAATTATCGGGGCTGAAGGACCAAACCAGGTGAAATAAAATTATTCTTGCCCCACCACCTGGAAGTAATTTGCCATACCATGCCTCGTAGTAAGGCTTAGACTTAGGCTTAGGCACCAACAACGCACTCAACCAACACTTTGGCTGCAAGCACCCGTCCATGTGGAAATTCCTCAACTACCTTCTGAAGTTCGAGCTCGAAACCCGGGTCAAACTGAGACAGCTCCGAGAATACGCACATGCCCCGAAGAAACGCGACCGGACGACGCTCGACGAGCAGCAGAAAATATGCTACAACTTTGATAAGGATTTGCTACAGCAATTTTTGATTAGGCGAATTTTCGATCAGATGATTTTCGATCAGGTGATTTTTCGATCAGGCGATTTTCGATCAGACGATTTTCGATCAGGCGATTTTTCGATCAGGCGATTTTCGATCAGGATATTTTCGATCAGGCGATTTTTCGATCAGGCGATTTTCGATCAGGCGATTTTCGATCAGGTGTTTTTCGATCAGACGACTGCCAACCCACTCCGAGAGCTTCATTTTTGACGACCCACTGGTCGTCAAAAATCTTAAAAAACAACTTGTGTTATTTCTTCATACCCAGCATTTTTAAGCATTCTGGCAAGGTAACGATGGTCCGATTCGTTTCCGTTCGCGAGATAATTTGACCCAAACTTTACTTTTTTTATTGGCCCACCCTGTAGAAATAAAAATACCTACGTTTGGGGTCCCACCATTTTCTTTTTTGCAACTTTAAAAATCCTGTAAAAAATGTTTATCAATTTTGAGTGTAGCGAAACGACTTTTTATAAATAGTAATTAGAACATGACGGACATTTTAAGCTTGTTTACGCATTTATAGGGCGTAGGGCTGAAAAGTAAGGGCTCCCCAGCCTAAAAACTAGAGTTCAGCCCGGATTTTCGGGACAACCTGTAGTAGTGAATCTCTGAACTAACGAAATTAACTAATA